ATGCACACTGCACATATCTTATTTTGAAGTAAAAAAACAAATGGGCAAAAACACCCGCATGTGGCCCGTGGGCCGTAGTTTGAGGATGCCTGGCTCTGAACTATACACTTCAAAATGGTTAAGATAGTAAATTTTATGTTATGTATATTTTACCATGATTAAAAAAATTTTAAATTTGTTTAAAAAGAAAAGGTACTATAAGTAACAAAAAAAATTAAGTAACATATCTTCAGAAGTGGAAGACAGAATATTTATAGTTTATTCTGCTAAAGTATTAAATATCTCTGCAAAATTCAAAATGTACTACAAATTATGCAGTGTATCTTTTTGAAGTGACTAAAAACTAAATTCAAAGCAATAATATTCAGTTAACTAAAGAATTCCCTCTTTTTGGCCTCTGGCTTTTCTGTTAGAAGTTATTGCAAGATACCTACTAAAATGGAAAACAACGGAAGAGGAGAATTGTAATTTCTCACTAATATTGCCACAACCCTGGAGGGAGGAATCCTAACAAACATGGCCATAATTTGCCACACATTTCTATTGTCCTCACTTTTCAAAATTCATAACTCAACATCTGGAAACAAAACAGTCTAAAATTTGGCTCCTTCATCAGTTTAGGAAGTGCCAAGTTAACTCCTGACATCCTAGCTTCCATTTAAAAAATGTACTCTTTCTCCCCACAAACTCCTAAATATCTAGATTCTTAAGTATTTTTAGCATGTTACAAGTTAAATAGAGTTGCTTAAGTAAAATGGCTAGTAAACCTCCCTAAAGAATTAAAATATTAATGGAGCTTTAATGACATAAATGAACAAGTTTACATCAAAATGATAAATGGGAAAGGAAGCAGAGTTCTGAGGATTATGAAAAAAAAAACAAAATTAAGCTCAAATTCTACTTTACTATTATATAACTGACAACTTCTTCTAAAGGTAAGTAGGAACCATTTTAACTTTATTAGTAAACTGGCATTTTTATCAGCTTTGTGTTCTTGTCTAAAACTAAACATAGTTAGATTTTTCTTAGGAAGATTCTCTAAATTTATTTATAACCTCAAGAATAACATGTAGAACAAAGTAGGTCATGACTAAATGATCTTTGTTGAATGAATGGATATTCATATTATTAAAAATCCCTGAAGATTTGCCATTTTTTACAAGATAAAGAGAAAACTCCTCAATATGGTCTGATGCTTACCTTCACAGCCTTACTGCCCCATCTCTCTGTGCTCAAGACAAAACAGGCTGCCCTCATAAAATGTCCTCTTTGCCTACAAAGTTCTTTTCATGACTCTCTGCCTACCTTAAGTCCATCCATCTGTCAGATCTCTGGCGAGGCAACCCTTCCTTAAGGCAGCCTTCTCTGATCTCTCAAACTAGAACAAATGGCCCCTAGGGGCATTAGGTTTTTATTGCACTATATACCTCTTCACAGCAATCACAGTTCCAATTTTGTATTTGTTTGCATACTTAGTCAATTAGTTTCTTTCTACCTTTAGACTACAGTTCTCTAAGAGGTATTGTATGATATTGAGCACCACTTGTATCATCTGTGCACAGTACAGGGCAAGGCATGTGAATATTTGAATAAGTGAACTTGAATGAATGAATGAGACAAATTTTCCTTACCCAAAGTATAACAGCCGGATAATATTTATAAATCCATTGCTTCTTGAAAAAGAAAAATGATGTGCCTGATTTTCATTCTACAATATAAATACCAGTGTCTAAGGACCTCACAGTCTTCTTTTTTGCCAAATCTTTTTGACAAATACCTTTATTAATCACCATGTGTTATGCGTGCTATTCTAAATAACATTTTGGTTACATTTCTGAAACATTTCCTGTCATTAACCTCATCTCTAGAATACTAGCTAACATGGCGCACCTGGATTTCAGGAACACAAACCTGAAACTCACACACCAAACTAAACTGTTATGTAAATGACAGAAAAAACACACTTTGGTCTGTACATATCTAGATGGCTTTTTGACCAATTTAACTTTTACCACTAAAATTCTGTTACTTCATTATAGGCATTTTGAGCTCATGATAAATGAATTACAGATGAAAAAGAAATAGTTTAACAACAATCTCTATGAAAGTCAGTCTTTAAAGAACACCAGTCAGGTTTTTTAGGCTCCTATCAACTCAATCGGTAAAGGTGGATTTTACTTTTTGTGATAATTGTGTTCTTAATTTATAAACAATAATCATATTTTGTTCACAAATGAAACTTAGGTCTGGATTCTAGTTCTTCCACTTTTCATTCCTGCGATCCTGAACAACTGACTTAAAATCCCTGAGCTTCAGATTCTTATGTAAAATCAGATAATGATTCTTTTGTCTTTAAGACGGTTTCAAGGTTTCAACAAGATAAAATGGGCTTCACTCAAGCATGCTTAGTGCTCCTTCATCTCCTCCTTGCTATAGGAATTCTAGTCTGTTCTAAGATTCTGCAAGGTAAATATTTGGTAAAAATTATGCCCTTCGTTTATCTAAATAAACCTAGATTTTCAGGTTTTAAATTTATTTACTAATTTAATGTCTCAAATAGTACAGAAATTTACATAGGGTATGTTTAAAAAATAAAAAGTGCTAATTAATCAAAATGTTGCATAAATGAAAGCTATACAAATAACACAGAATAACAAAATCATAAAAAATAATCAGATATAAAGAAGTCAGCAACAGAAATCTGATGATACCTTTTTAGATCATATTAATATAACTAGGAAAATGGAAAGTAGAGCTCCATCCTCCTTTAATCAAGGCATAAAAGAATATTCAAAATAGGGAAATGGGAAATACAAAATAGGGAAATGGGAAAACCAGGAAATGACAAATCAGCAAAAATTAAGGCTCATAAATTTTTTATATTCACTTCCATATCTCACTTCTAATATTTTAATCAAATTCAATTAAGAACCAAAATGGAAACAGGATAAAGGCAAAAGGAAAGTTAAGTAGGTCAAGTGAGAACCAATAAAGTCCTCAGGCAGGCTCTTTGTCTCTTTCTGTTTAAGGAAAAACTGCCCAACTGCTTTGACACAGGAACCATCAGGAAGGAGGCTCTGCCCTTAAAGAGTCCCCATCTGGCAGCCAGGTTTTGTCAAGCAAATTTTGAGAACTCTCTACCTTTCCACTTTCTATCTAACTATAGAACTTTATAAAAACCATTCTCTCTCATACACATTCTCTCTTCCTTCTTCCTTCCCTCCCTCTCTCCATCCCTCCTTCTCTCTCTCTCTCCTTGAATCCTTCTGTATTTTTTATGATACCACAATAAAGAGGTATGGATTAATCTGACAATGTCCCCCCAGAACAGAATGATAAATTCAAAAAGGAACACCTGTTCTCGTATACCTGTACTATTTATTATTCTGACAATAATAATTCCTACAATAAGTATAATACACTTTCCCTACAGGAGCTTAAAGTATTAATAAAGAAACTACAGTGTAATTACATATATTTGCCAGAACTTAACTCAGGTAAGTGCTGGGAGGCATAAATCTCAAAACAGTTTTGGAACTCTTTTGGAAATGTCTTCAGAGTCTGTGGTATATTTTATTCAGCTAAATTCCACAAGTAAGATATTTTACTAGGCTGTGGGAATGCCTTATGGTATGTTACTATGGAGCCCATAGTACAATAAAAAGAATATAAATAATGAAAATAAAATTGATAAATGATAAGTGATTTAATGAATTAACAAAAATTCACATGCCAGGCATTTTTCTAAACCCTGGACAAACAGCATGAACATATAACAATAACCCTGCCTTTGTGATAAATATGAACCACTTGAAAATTATGCCTGCATCACTAAATCAGAAATACTCTTCATTCTTCCAGTATATTGAAATTTTGTTTGTTTGCAATTCTTTTTAATTAGATAATTTGTTTTTCTCTTTGAACACACGGTTATGTGATGGCTCTATAAAAGATTTAAAAATAACTATAGACATAACGATCAGTAAAGATTGTGGGACACTGAAAATGGCTACAAAAGGAAGTTATAACAAGACCTTTTTAAATCTGAATGGAAATCCCAGATTAGTGTATGCCTGTGAAATATGCCAATTCCTGTTCTTAAATTCTTTTTTCAAAATTGTAAGTAACTTGCTTCCAGGAATGCCATACAGTCAACAAATATTTAATATTTGCTATATGCCAAGCACACAGGATTTTTAAAGTACTCTACAGAATGCAAAGTTTCTTTACCTCATACAAACATACTATAAGAACGACATGAGAGCTTACTGTCTACTTTGTTGTACAATACTGAGGACTCACCACCTAAAACAAATAAATACAGTTGGCTCTTGTTATTGCAGTAGTTATGTTCTATAACGTCACTGCAAACACTGAATTGGCAAATACTGAACCATTTCTCCTAGGGGAAATAGAGGGTTATGTTTCTGTGGGCCTTAGTCACATGTTCATCAACCAATCAAAACATAACCTTGTTTTGTGTTTCTGTTTAAAGATAGCACATTAGTATATGCTTGGGGTCCATTTGAAACAGTAAAATCACCAATAAAAAGCACAAAAATGTGAACATGGCACTAAACAGACTGTGAAAAGAACACTTGTTTACAATATGACAGCTGAAACATGAAGGCAGAGCATCACTTTGTTCAACAAAGTGGGTGGGAACATGCCTGTCAGGTGAATCAAATTTTTCACTTCTTTGCATATGTCTGTGAATGATCACAAAAGTACTCCAAGTATTAACTTTGGGGTTACCAATAAATTTTAGCAAGTAGGTGAATCTGTCAATACAAAATCTACACATAATGAATATCAACTACATATGAGCCAAATATTTCAGTACAGTCTCTGAGGTGACTGCCACCAAATGACACAGATCTGAAAACCCCTAATACTGTTCAGTTCCTATAAAAACTTAAGAGTTTTGGACTAGAGTGCTTCAGGAAATAAGATATCTAAGGCTTTCAGAAATGGACATTTTTTAAAATGTTACTTCCTACCTGATATATTCTAAAGGGGATATAACGAAATCCATTTTCTTCTGCAGGATATTCCATGAGTTTCCGATTGATGGCCCAAAACTGGTCAAATCTGTCTGTAATGACATAAATTATTTATTAAAAATGAATGTTATAATGAAATATCACATATGACAAAAATTTTAAACATCCTCCTAGAAGTTTCTGAAAGTATTTCATTTACATAGCATTTTTCCCTTAAACTTATCTTCTCATAATTAAATACAAAACAAGAAATAAAATTAATTTTTCTACATATTGTTTCCTCTTCCAAGATATTCACACAGGTATTTTTTTCCTTTTAAGAGAAACCCTAAACAGATATATGACTATTTATGTTATCAAGGCAAAAAATACCAGGTAGGGAATAGATATCTTGACTCTCCTGATTCTACTCCTACTGCTAAACTATAAAGGTCCAGCTTCAGGTAACCTAAATGTTAACCAGAACTTGTATAAACAAAGTCAAAATATTGAACACAGTAAACATTAAACATCAAAGATGATAAAATTATAGGAAAGGCTTTAAAAGAAATATGGAACTCACACTTATGAACTGTCAAGTGCAACTTACTCCCAGACTGAATAAACTCCTTAAATTTTTCAAGTTCAATTTTAAAAAACCTATTGGAATACAATTTGCATAGCATAAAATTCACCCTTTTAAAGTATACAATTCAGTGGTTTTTGGTATAGTCAGAGCTCAGAACATTTTCATTATCCCAAAAAGAAACCTGTAACTATTAATAGCCACTCCCATTCTCTTGCCCTTGAAAATCACTGGAAATCACTTCCTATCTCTATGGTTTGCCTATTCTGAACATTTCATATAAATGGAATTATACAATATGTGGTCTTCTGCATCTGCCTTATTTTTCACTTGGCATAGTATTTTCAAGGTTCATTGAAGTTGTAGTATGTATCAGAATTCCATTTGCTTTTCTAGCTGAATAAATATTCCATCATATCAAGATGGAATATTCCATCATATGAAGTTATCAGATTTTGGTTATCCATCAGTTGATGGACATATAAGTTGTTTCAACTTTTTGGCTACTGTAAATAATGCTACTATAAACATCTGTGCATACATTTTTGGGTGGACATAAGTTTACAATTCTTTTGGGTATGTACCTAGGACTGGAATTATTATTAAAATAAAACCTGTTTAACAACAAGAGCACATCCTTATTAAATGAGAGATTTATACTGCTTCTAAATGAGTAAAAAACAAACTCTAAAACAATGGTTCTCAACCACAGTGAAGATTTTGCTCCCCAGGCAGACATTTGGTACTGTCTAGAGACATTTTTGATTGTCATGATTCTATGTGTATGTTACTAGCATATAGTGGATAGAGGCCAGGGATGCTGTTAAACATACTAAACATGCATAGGTCAGCTCCCTACAACAACTGTCTGACCCAAAATGTCAACAGGGCTAGAGGAAGGAGAACAAACACAAGCAATAGAGAGTACAGAAAAGTAATCAGTAAAAAGTTTTTACATAACTGCATGGCAAAAAAGTAAACTGGAAAAAAGAACAATATTGTGCCAGTTATCAATTTAATGACTCTCAGTTCCAAATTTGCCCTTCAAAATATGCATTCTTATATGGGCACCATTCCTTTAAGCATCTCTACTGGGACAACCACTTTAAGACTTTTCAGCAGAGAGTGCTGAAAGGAGATTGTAGGACAAAGGGCTCCCTTGAGATTTCCAAATGCTGCATGGTGGATCAGTGGTGTGGTGGTGTGGACATCAGGTAGAATCTTGCCTCAGGCATGTGAGCAGATACTAAGGCTTTCAGTAACCTTGCAGCCTCACCTGGCCCAGGGATACCCCTCTCAACACAGAATCCAGCACTCTGAAGTACAGAATCCTGCCTGCATAGGTACACCGAAGGCCCATTGCCCTTATCAACACCTCAGTTTCTTCTGCAGGCCCTAAAAAGGCGGCTCATGTGCAGTTTCCCACACCTTTGCACATCCATGCTGCCCGTTGCTCATCACATGCATTCCAAATTGCCATGACTGCCCAGGGACTACAGACAAATTCTAACCTGGGCAAAACGGTGAACTTCTCCAACAAGGTCTGAACCTCAGCCTTGGGGAAGGGGCCCCTTACAAGTTTGAGTACCACATGCGGTTTTCTTATATCTTATAGTCACTCTTTTATCAGAGTTTAATGATTCTTTATATAAAACTTACCCTGTTTAACCCACTCTGTGGTTTCTATCTCCTGATTGGACCCAGACAGATACAACTATGTTTAAAAGGAAAAAAGACACACAAAAGATCTGTATTAATTAATATTAGTTTTTAATCTCATAAAAATGTTATATTCTTATATGAAAAGGGTATTTTCTCAGCAATAAGTAAAAATAACCGAGCCAAGAATAAACTAACATTTATAGGTCAATGTTACTAATAATAAAGATAAAAATAGAAATAAATCAGTGCTGAAATTCAATATATAACCAAGTGTTTTCCACACTAAATTTCATAGTATTAATACCTCCTTCTATGCCCTAGTTGACAATTAAAATAAAATTGAAGAAAGGATGCTTTACTATCTCCTTAAATACTAATGAATCCAATAATGAATACTGAACCGTTTCTGAATAACAGTTTAGATATTGGACCTAAGCTATTATTATAATTAAGTCATAAAATTGGTTATTTGTTTTATCAGCCACCAAGAACAGTACTTTTAAGTAACAAAAACAGTCTTTGGCTGTTCATTTTACAAACTGTAATTGCAGATAAATGTACATCAACTTCAACAACTTTCAAATTTACTTGATTCTAATTCTAAAACAAAACAAAGAACTAAGTAGCAGAAAATTAAAACTAGCAGTCATTTAGTTTATTCACACAATGGGAGAAAGGAAGTTATTAATACATATATACTTCTTGCTAGAGCTGTTAGAAATATGACTAAGAAGTTGGTTTTTAAACACTTAACATTTGTTTAAGAAGGCTACCAAGTCAAGGATCATAAAATTAAAGGCCTGTTTTATGGAAATATTACATCTATTTTTTTTAAAAAAAGACAGATTAAAAATATAATTTCTTAAAATCCTAACAGCCACCATTTTTTCCTCACTCTCTGAATTATACTTTCATATTAGAAATTTTTGAAACATTCAGAAAAACTTTTAAAAATTTCAGATCTCTCTAACATATCTAAGACATACAGTTACTCAATTTTTTATTCTTTGTCCCTTACATGGAAAAACAGCAGAAAAGAATTTATCTATTCTTCCACTTAGGTTTTACAAGAGGTAAGAATTCTCAGCAAAGTAAGTTTTTACATTCTTATGCCACAAATAATGTGCCTAAAATCCTTCACAGCAGATATAGAGGACATGGAAGGAGACTGCTAGTCAAGCTCATTTCAGTGGGCTAGAAACCTCAAAGAACAGGAAGGAGGTGAAGTGGCCTCCACACATATATACTATCCACCTCCTGGTCTTTAACGTCTATGATGCCAAAGAGAACAGAGTCACAGCACCCCAAATAAATATCAGATTGACAACACACAAAAGACAGACTCTAAGCTTTTCTTGGAAGAAAAAAGCAAATGGCTGAAAATCAGTACTAAAGGGAACCCCCTCCCTTCACAAAGTTTTGTATCAACAATATTATTCAAATCATTACTACACATGGCCATGTCATATATGTAATGTTTTAACCAGATGCTTTCAAGATAACAGAAAACGTATCCAAATACAGAGTTATTTGAATTAGTTTCCTCATATGTAATACATTAAACATCTTCAAAAGACAAAATAGGAGGAAAAAAAGAGAAACAAATAGTAATTTACTGGTAGGCTGCCAAAAGCAGGCGTTAAATAAGTGACCTGTATCTTCAAACTCATTTGTCTTCTGAGTCAGATCAAATTAAGACAATCACATGTTATTAGGTCATTAAATATGAACTGTCTGATTTTGAATCAAAAGTGTAGCTTATTATATCTCAAACAAGAAGCAGTACAATTAATCAAAGTATGCACCTAAACTATCGCCACAGTTTTTCCATCTTAATAATAACTTGTTTGTGCTTGCAGTGAAGAAGCCTGGAGAGTGAGTGGTTGTGAAATCACAAAAGGCATTTTTCACAGCTTGTGGAGAATGGAATATTTTTTCTTGCAAGAAGTGGTCCAAAGACTGAAAGTGAGTCAATTGGTACAAGGTCTGGTGAATACAGTGACTGACAGAGAGTTTCCAAGTCCAGCTGCTATAGTTTGAGTAGTGTTGTTTGTGCAACATATGGTCAAGTGCTGTCTTTCAAGAGGATTGGTCTGTCTCTATTGATCAATCTCGGCTGCTTAATCACAAGCATCCTCATCATTTCATCCAACTGATTGCAGTAGACATCCGCTGTAATTAACTGACCAGGTTTCATGAAGCTGTAGTGGGTAATACCAGCACTGGACCACCAAACAGACATAAGCTTTTTTTGATGAATATTCGGTTTGGGATGCTTTCGGCACTTCATCTTTATCCAATCATTGTGCCAAACACTTGCAATAGTCAAAAAGAATCCATTTTCATCAAATGTAACAATACAGTGTAGAAATGGTTTGCCTTTATGCCGTGACAACAAACAAAGGCAAGCTTCGATAAGATTTCTCTCCTGACATGCATTTAATTAATGCATCTATCCAGCTATCTACCCATGCATATTAATGCATCTACCCATCTATCCAGCTTCTTTACCTTGCCCATTTGTTTCAAATGGTCCAATGTTGTTAAAATAATAACATCAACCTTTCCTGCTAATTCATATGTATGTTGAGATGCATTCGCTTCCACTATAGATTTCAGCTCCTCATTATCCACCTTGGTCTCAGGTCACCCATGTGGCTCATTTTCAAGATTAAAACTACCAGAACAGAACTTCTTAGACCATTGCTGTACTGTGTGTTCATTAGCCACATCCTTCCCAAACACTTTGCTGATATTTTGAGCTGTCTGTGCTGCATTGGTTCCATGACAGAACTCATATCAGAAAATAGCATGAATTTTTGACTTATCCATGGTTTCATAAAAATTGCTATAAAAAATTTGAAG